GGATGAGCGCCCTCTCCTTCCCTCTCTCTTCCTTTCCCCCCCCCCCCCCCCCCCCCCCCCCCCCCCCCGCAGGGTCTACATCAACTTCTACGACATGGCCCCGGCCAACGTGGGATGGAGCGGCTCCACCTTCGCGTAGCAGCGGCGGCGGTGCCGGGGGAGGGGCGGGGCTTGGGGGAGGGGCAATAAAGGCTTCTGAACAGTCCCTCCGACTCCGGCTGTCTTATTTGCGCGGGCGAAGGGCGGGGGGGGGTGTGTGGCCTGGGCGCCCTCCAGCGTCATCAGAGCGCGCCGCCGGCAGACATGGCGCTCTTCGTGGTTCCCAGGTGGGTCCGCGTGCCGTGGGATCCGCGTCGGGCTGGCTGGCTGACCGAACCGGCCCGTGGGGGGAGAAGGAGGAGGGGAGGCGGGCGGATTTCTTGGGCAAACGGTCTGGGCCTCTTGAGCCAACCTTGGCCGCTTGAAGCCCAGAATTCCCCAGCCAGCTTTGCTTCTGAAAGTCCGCCGGGCTTAAAGCGGCCGAGGTTGGGGACCCGGTTCTTGAGGGGGGGCGGGGGCGTCTACCGACGGCGCTTCTTCGTTTGATCGGGCGTCAAATAGAGCGCGGAAACAACAGGCCCCGTCAGAGGCCTCGCACGTGGGCCCTGAAGCGTCCCTGAGAGGCTTCAAGCGCCGAAGGTTGGAAACAATCCAAAAAGGGCACTGGGTGCGGCGGGCTCGAGAGGTCAAACAGAGGAAAGCAAGAAACGGGCAACGCTTTCAAAGTCTCCGGAATACCCGGGCCAAGGTGTGGGGGGTGGGGGTGCAAACGGTGTAAGCAAAAGCCCGAAGTCATGAAGCGAGTGAACCTTAAAGCAAAAGCCGTTCCTTAACGGAGGAGGCGATTGGCAGAGTAGGAATAGTCGGATGTCCCGTAGTAATAATGTCTGGAACGGGGTTTTAAAGGGCTATTATTGCCCCTAGAGCGTCCTAAGCGCTGGTGAAATCTATACGAGAGGCAAAATTTCCAGAGGTCGATTGCAAAAGGCCCCGCTGCCTGGATCGTGTAATGTCTTCTTGCATTAGGATATTCAGGTGCAAATGAAGGCCATCCCCAGCTGAAGAGCTGGCAGTTGCATGTCACGTATATAAGAGATCTTCCAAGCTATCTGATGAAGGATGGTTTCTGCCTTGCACAAATGCTTCTCCCAGGGTTACAAAGCTTTAGGATAACCACCTGCCTCAGGGATAAAGGAATTGCAATCCTCATCCCCAAAACTGAGGATGATGGGAGCTGTGGTTCAACATCCACAAGGTTACTGATACTATTGCTTGTCTTTTTTCTCCCAAGTTTTAAAATGTTATACTCTTTCAACATGTTTATGTGATGGTTGTGATGTCACAGCACCGCCACCTGGAGTCACATGAGCACATTTGGAGCACTCTTCTCTGCAACTGCCTGCATTTACTGCTGTTTGCAGCTTGCGGTCATCTGTGGTCACATGACTGCGGTTTATGACAGTTTTGCTGGAAACCAGTATATTCAGTTTTCCAGCAAAAACACTCCATAATGAACAATGGGTTTGGTTAACGACCACAGCATTTGCTTAATAACTGCTACAAAAGATGTGAAATTGGGTTCTGTCCCTTGGTAACCCTCTTTACAACGGCATAATTTACAAACACAATTGTAGGGCACAATTACAGTTATGACTCAAGGACTACTTTATATATACAGTACAGGTAGTCCTTGACTTACAGCCATTCATTTAGTGACTGTTCAAAATTACAAGGGATTTATAACACTTATTGTATCCATAACCATTTTTCACACTACCACTGCAGCATAGCTAGGGTCCTGTGATCAAAGTGTGGATACTTGGCAACTGGCATGTATTTATGACAGTTGCAATATCCCAGGTCATCTCTTGTGACCTGATCAAAGTCAACAGGAAAGCCAAATTTAACTTATAACAACTGCACTATACATTTAACTGTTGGGAAAAAAGGTCATAAAATGGGGCGTGGCTCAACTGTCTTGTTTGGCAGCAGAATTATGGCTTAATTGTGGTTGTAAATTGAGGACTACCTGTATTAATCATTCTCATACCACGGCAGGACTTGAGCAGCTTTTGATCTTGGGGCGCCAAGATGCCAGGATTTACCATCCTTCATTCTGGATGGGGTGGCACTGCCCCAGATAAATCTGGTGTGCAATCTAGGGGTCTTTCAGAATTCATGATTTGCTCAGAGAGCAGGAGGCAGTCACGGCTAGGAGGGCCTTTGCCTTCAGGTGCTATCATAGAACGTAAAATAATAGGGTTGGAAGGGACCTCTGCCCGTGGCAGGGTACCATTGTGCTCTAGCTGTGCCCATTCCTGGACCAGGAAGCCTCATACTGCCCTGGTCACCCCCTATAATACATTCTGCATTGGGTTGCATTTGAAAAACAACTGGAAGCTTCAGGGGTACAAAATGTGCCGGTATTTATGTGCACACTTCAATCTACTCAGCGTCCTGCATTAGCTTTCAGTTCCCTTCTGGGTTTAATTCAAAATGCTGATGGTGATCTATAAAGCTCTACTTAAGGTATTTTACCAGCCTTTCGAAAAATTCTCAAAATGTTTAAACTATCAGTAGTCAAAAATTAAAGTGCCAGTTTGGAAAAACAAATACACTAATCAATGTAATGCTGTTATCTGTTTTTTTAATTATGCCTGAGTCTCTGATTTATGTGGGCCAACTCTCTCCACATTTTTGGATCTTGTACAGCTTCTTTCAGTTGTTTATACCCTGGCTGGCAGTAGCTTTTGGCAGCCTCGTTTTCTTTTACCACTGATCATTCTGAGCATAACTGCATAACTATCTAATAAGTAACTAATGGAACAAGGAAACTCTTCAGTTAAGATTCTGCCTCAGAAAATTATTTTTGCTTGAAATCAGTAGCCTTAAAAGTAGCATACACAGCTTTAAAACAAAAGCAAACATGAAAACGGAGGGAAGGCAGCCAAAAAGTTGAATATTCAACTGCACATTAAAGATACTACTTGGTTCTTTCCTCCCATCAAACCACCAAAGGATGAATAACTTGTGCATATGTTAAAATGACTTTCCTTGGAAAATCCCCAGGTATGTTAGTGATGAAGAGGATAATCCAGAATGTAAGTCCCAGTTGCTCTTACATCGGCTGCAGGAGCAAGCAAAGACTCGGCAGCTGCAAAAACAGGAGCAGAACTGGCCCACTTCTGGGCAGCGAAAGAGATTGGCGCCTGGAGCCCCTGAAGAAGAGACCAACGAGGAATTAAAGCAAACAGGCAAAAAGAAGAAAGTAAGTCAGGAATCCCTTTCAGCCCAAAGTCACAGAGAAAAGGAGCCAAGACGACCTACTTTTGGGGCAGAAAGTTTGCCCGAGAAAGATGGCTCAAGCAAACGTAAGAAGAATGGTGGGAATTCTAGAACACCTCAAGGAAAGACGGAAGCAGTTCAAGGTAAAACAAATTTTGGTTTTGACTGGGTCCTTCTGGGAGCTGTATTCGAGCAGGTTTCATTTGGATACCAGTCACAGTATTGAAGGACTGTTAATCTTTAGAGCTGTTTTTCAGACTGTTGAGCAGAGCACTCATTCCGTAGTTGCAGTTTCCCTAAGACAAATGCAACAAACTTTGTGAGTCGGGGGTTTTACTTTTCTTAGCACAATCTACACTCACTTGTTTTGTTCAGTGAATTATTTTCTTCCCTTCTTGCTTGCATCATGCGGCTGTTAATGCAGGCATCTCATTGGAATCAGTATTTCTGTTACCAACAGACTGAAAAACCCAAGTCAGCACCAAGTAGTCTACCTGTGCAATTCTTTCTTTAACTTTTTGGTTTGGTACTTTTTGAAAAGGGTACTTGACAGTCCACCATCAGGTCCAGCAGGAAGGGCACATTGCAGGACCTGTCCGTCATCTGATGGGGTCCAGGAGGAGAGCCTTTTGTGTTTTGGCACCCACCCACCCACCCAACATCATTCCCCCTGAGGTCAGACTGACCTTACCGGCCTTCTGGAAAACCTGAGCTTTGCCAGCTGGCAGGGGTAGTGCAGAACTGAAAAAGGGCAATACTACTAGTGAGTTTGGGTGTGCTTGCTCACTGATTATGTTTTTTTAAAAAAATAGTTTGAATTGCCTTCCTTGTTATATTTTGGATGTTCTTGTTTGTGCTTTTTTATTCTGCAAGCTGCCCAGAGTCACATATGTGAGATGGGTGCCTCTAGAAATTGCACAAACGAACTAATACTATTAGAAAATATCATTTCTTATATTATTACAAAACGTTCTCTGCCTAGAGCCTCTTTCTGCCTGAAAACACACACCCTAAGATCAGCCACTTCCTTCCATAAAATGTTTCTTGAACACCAAGTTATTTGTGTTATGTCTGTCCCTTTTATCAGGAGATGAAGGTATGTTGGAGACTCATCCGGAAAGTCGAGCTACCCCAGAAGAAGAAGGTATGGGAGGTTTTGGAGACAAAGAGAGCCAAGCCAGAAAGGATCAGAGGATGCAGACACCAAATCCAAGGACAGCTTCTTCACCTTCCAGCATGATTGTCCTTGGTCCTTCTGATCAAAGGAATCTGCACAAGGTAACATGATGGTTAACCAACATCAAATCAAATCTTTACTATGCCCACGGTCCAAAAGGAGTTTGGGGTGCAGTCAATTTAAAAGTCCAAAAGCTACTTCAGTCTAAAACTGCAAGCAAGAGCCAGCCCAAAACACTTACCAGCTCCCTCAGAAGGAGAAGGAACCCCACCCCCCACTCCCAAACTACACCTAGCCATTTCAGTGAGAAAGTCTTCTACTCACCAAGGCTCCTGGCTGGCAGTTCCTGCCACACTTATTTAATGAAAACTCTGGCTTTCTAATTTGCAGGACTGCTGCCTCCTTGGCCCCGGTTTAAGGCAGATTATTTGAGTGTTGGAGAAGAACAGAAACCTTGACGGGAGCTATTGAGAGGGTGGGTGGGGCTTCCCTTCGTGGGTGGGTGGGTCCAGAGCAGAGGCTTCTAGGGATTCCTGCCTAGGTTGGGCTCTCAAGAAGGTGAGGGCTCCGCGTTTAACTTCCAGGTGCAGCCTTTTGTGCCACGGTGGTTCAGCCAGCCGCAGCAGTTCCAGAGGCAGATCCGAGAGAACCTCGTCCCTCTCCAGGACGTTCCAGTCATTCACCCTAAGCTGAGAAAGAAGCTGCAAGCCAATGGAATAGCATCTCTCTTTCCAGGTATCAGAAGCAGGAGGAGAGTCGGCCACGTATTTCTGAAGTTCATTTGCCATGTTGGAAGTGATATAATAAAAGGCTACTTTCACTTTTTGTACATTAAACGTTAGCAGACCACCTTGGGGGAATAGTTTTGATCAACTAATGTTTTTGCTTTAAGCCTATTGTTTTTGGCGAGTCCTATTTGAGGCCACTGTAATGAGCGGTGTGGTGGCCTAAAGGATAAGACGCTCACCTCCCATTCCAAAATTTGAGAGTTGAATCCAAGTTAGTGGCAGGTATTTCTGCCTCAGAAAAAAATATCTGCAGTGAACACCATGTGGCATCAGGAAGCGCATCCAGCCGGAAAAAGCTCCGTTCCATTCAATCACCCCAACTCTGCTCCGAACTAAGGGACTACAGGGTCATAAAAAGGCACTTTATTTAAGGCCACTCTAGCCTTCTTTTGATATTTAATTTGAAACCGTTATTATGCAGGGCACTTGCTACAGAACTCAAGAAATAAATTGTTACGTGGAGCAAATCTTTTGAGCTAAATTAGAATTATCTAAAAAAATAGACACAGACATGGACAAATGCCTCTCTGGTGCCTCTTTGTTCTTCAACCTTCTGCCAACGTTCATGAATCAGTTTTCCTGCGAATGAGGAAAGAGGAGCTCTCTTCGTATCATAGAGGCTCTTGCCCAAGAAGCTCACAGTAAACACCCAAACGAACCTCCAAGACCATCCTCACCAATACTGACAGGGCAATCCACTAGAACAGGGGTGTCCAACCTTGGCAACTTTAAGACTTGTGGACTTCAACTCCCAGAATTCCTCAGCAAGCAAAGCTG